TCTTGTTAACGCTTTTGATCTATCGTAGCTTACAACCGAGGCAGTTATATTCAGACATGTTGTTAACTAAAAATAAATGGTATAAACAACTACTTTCGCCCAGCTTTTTGCGAATTAACTGCACAAAACGCAGTTTTGGCTGCAGAAAATTATTCGTCTTCGACGTTTTGCAGTAAAATTGTCGACAGTTTAAAATTTTTCATTAATTGTCGCTTAATTATGGTGCCTTTGCCGCCTTAACAGTTGCAAATCGTGCACAACCAGGAGGCAGACGTTAAAAGATTGATTGGTAGCTTTGCGACAATGTTTGGCCACCGCGTACGCCAGATTTTACACTGCTTGATTAATTTTTGCCGGATTTTGGCAAACATACGTTTCACGCATTTCACTAATTGTGTGATGACACACACGCACAAACAAATGCCGAGTGTTCGTATTATCGCTATTAAATGTGGCGATAATATTGGGAATTAAAGTTCTAAAAATGCACTCAAAAAGCATTTTTTAGAGTAGCCAAAGTGGAAAATTTTTGTTCTATTTTTCAATTCTAGGCGTGTGTAACTCAGCGAACTTTCAGGAGTTGGAAGCACCGACACAGTAACTCACCGGTGCAGAAACGTTGCAGTCACCCATTTGCTAAAACGTTACTAATAAATAATGTGGTGACTTTTTTTGTTAGGTGTTCAAATTCGAGTCCCGGGCCTCGAAAAGTTTTAATTCGCCCCTGGGTTAAATGCTAAGCGTAATTCAAAGTGCGGCACAGTGAGAAACGATGACTTGTAACGAAAAACTCAGAAACAAAAACTACTTTACAAGTGCAGAAAAAAGCAAAAAAGAGTGCACTCTAAATGCCTTCAAAACTTCGAACCTCTACTTATCGTTAAGAAAAATTTCGCAGTATTTCTATGAACTATTGCGGGACACACTTTGAATTGAGCAACGTTCCAACTTGTAAACGGAAAACAACAACAACTAAACGGAAAACGCTCCAAGCGCCAATCTTTCACTAATTTAACTTTAAATTTAGTCATTTTATTTGTCTGAATTTGATTCATCTGCAGTGATTGATTGGCACGACGCCAAAATTAAAATTAATAACCGAATTAATTTTGTATTGCTTAATTTTCAAGCAATGATAGAAACCAAAGAAACCAAGTAAAAATGTCCTTTACAGTTGTGATTTCAAGAATTATTGCGCCACAAGAGTAATTTGAGGTGAGGTCCAATGAGTTATAACTCACCAACTCACAGAGGAGCATCAACTCAAAAAGCGTTGAGCTTACTCACTCAGACAGTGGCGAAAAAAACTTGCAAATTTCAGAAAGTTGCTACCAAATAATAGTTTATATTTCTTCCACAAAGCCTTTTATTAGAATAATCAAGCTTTAGGGTTAGTAGTTTGTGACAAAAAAAACAATAAAAGCATGGAAATATAATAATTTGCCTGCTTTGAGCCCAAGTTTCAATTGTTCATCAACGACATTTTAATTGGTTCAAAAGCGGCGTTCAAAGAGCTTTCCACCATTGGCTCCAGTGCTTTAAAAATCCACAAAGACATTGAAGAACTACCAGATGGCTCAAGCAGTGCTTTGTAAATAAAAATGGACGTGGGGAATCGATAACATCCTTGTGCATTTATACATTTGAAGCATTCGGAAATTACAGACACATTGCAAGCTTTATGTAATTAATAGAGTTTTTTTTAGTGTACTTACTTTGACTGGCAGAAACTGAACTATTCGCAGAAAATGTGGAAAGTAGATGAGTAGCTGAGCTAAAAGGGCGGAAAAATAAAATACATAGACATCCTATGATGACGACGTAGAATATAAAATTCGAACATTCGTAGCAATTTGTAGAAAGAAATCGTAAAAATAATCTTTAATTCTCGCTTAATTATGATGTATTGATCAATTTAAGGCTAGCAAAACGTCCAAAAGTGGCAAGACAAGGTTAGAATCGCTTGGTAGCTTTGAGATTGAATGGTTGGCCAGTGCAAAGGCCGGACTTGGCGCTGTTTGATTAATTAAACGTTTGTAGGCTTTTGATCAATAAGGGCGGTTTGCAGTAGCAAATGCTGATTTGTTTGCCAGCTAATTAACCGGATGTTCGTGTATTGTGGGAACAACTGATGCGGTACCGGATAGTTTGTGACAAAAACCCGGTTGTCCTTAGTCATCCAGACAAAAATTCGTTTAACAGCAAGTGCTGCACGAAATAATTAGGTTCAAGAACACCGTGGCTAAGTGCCCATCCGTATATTATTGCAGGCGTACGCGTTTTAATGATCTCCGAGTTGGGAACACGGCGGACGTGATCTGCATAATAAAATAGCAACGACTTTAAACGGCTTTCACTAAGTTACTCGCTTGTTGAGATTGCTATCGTTTGCTGCTGTTGCTGATCCTGCTGATCCTTCGACAGGTCCTTGTGCAATTCAACAAATTTCTCTTGTTGGTGCGATTTCTTCATCGTTTATATGGTGTTTCAGGCGAATTCTCACAGTAAAAATGGTTAAAGTTTGGGCCATTTAGAAACGATTTCGACTCGAAAAAAATTAAATACATCTTGGACTCCAAATCTCTTAGATCAGCCTAAGTCGAATACGCCTTTTATTATATTTATCATTAACATAGTTAATTATTTATAATCTATTTGGATTTTTCAGTTTTTTTCTCTAAAAATCCCCACTTACAACAGCACTACTACCCAGTACCTACTACAAGTACTAAACCATTTCGATTCAAGCTTTTTGTCCAAAAAATCAGTCATTTTCGAGAAAAAAAAATATCCTGGAGTTCAATTCTTACGACGGATCAATATAAGTGTAATAAGATAGGTTTAAGAAACATTTTATTGGTTTTTTTCAAAAATTCCTAATTTTTTATGAAAAAAAGAGGGGCCGACCAGCAATACTGATTCATTTATAAAATGTTACTCTTCAAGTTTTTCCTAAAAATCATTACTTTTGAAAGGAAAAAAATATATATTCCAGTAGAGTATATGTACTTACTTCTCATAGATCAGCCTAAGTTTGATAAGACAGGTTTTTAAGATGCATTTTATTGACTTAGTCAAAAAAATCCTTTATTTTTCATGAGAACCAGACTAGGAAGGAGGCTGATTTGTATATGAAATAATTTAATTCTCGAGCTTTTTCTTAAAAATGATGTAAAAAAGTTAAATACAATTCACATATATCAGCCTTATCTGTTGACCAGGTTTAAAAATGCTTTTTTGTTTATTTTAATATTTCACGAATTTAATTTGTCTTACAGTTATGAACACAGTCAAGAAAATGTTCCTTGTAATTCGTTTCCCGAATAGACAAGTTCCTCAATAGTCGAAGTAGATGTGGAAAATGAGCTCTTTTCTTCCCCTTTTCATGAAATTTTTGAAACCGTTTCAATGTTTCCCATGCCTAAAAATTTGAAACTTTGAGTACTGATTGATTTTTTGTCGATTTAAGAAAGAACCCAAGAGTTTATTACCGCGTTCTTTGCTCCATACAGAAAAAAAATCTTCTAGGAAAATCAGATGCCAACGTAGAACTGAACCAATCTGATAATTCGGTATGTCTTTATCATAAAAATTTTGGAGTTTTCCGCAATAATCGCACTTCCGAAAAATGGTTATAAACTGGAGAGTTTCAACGACTTCAATCTCAAAACACCGTGACTGGAGCAAAGAAAATATAATTGATTTTTCATTTTTTTTGTTTTTTTTTTAATTGATTTCCAGAAGCCAATAAAATTTTCAAAGTTTCACTAGTTAGACATGATGATTGATGGTAAAATTTAAGACAATTCTTCCAATCTAAAAAATGTGACCTCATCACCAAATCACACTTAACTTTCGTATCTTTACCAATTTTCTTTCTCTTTTATTAAGTAAACCAGCATTACTTATTAATCCTATAGCCTCTTAAATGCACTAAATCTTGTAGTCTCTTAAATTCACTAACCTAAAGCTTCCCCTAGAGTTGCGTAAAAATCTGCTTTCTATTGCAATTAAAACCAGAGGAAGTACATTATTTACGACTTAATTACGTGAGATGGCAAATGGTCATAATAAATAATTTATTGGATAATTATTATAAACAATAGGCTCATTGTTTTATTTATTGGGAAACGTCTTCAGTATCTTGGTTATATCTCACAGAGCATTATCCGGTCGATAGATAGCAACAAATAATAAGCAATTTTGTAAGAACCTTTTTGGTTATCACCATCTGTGTATTTCTGCAAGACCACCCGCAATAAATACGAAAAAGTGCTGGTTCTTTAACGTTGCTGCGTCTGATTTTGTCTGCAATTACTGAAATCTTGCATTGGTTTTTTTGCATACAAACACAAAGATAAATAAAATTGAAAACAGGAAAATAAATCAGAATAAAGACAAATAAACCCATTCGGTGAACGAGGGTTTTAAAAAACTCTATTGAATAATCACTGAAGTTTAGTCTAATGCTGTTGAAGTAATCGCAAGATTCTCTTACAACTGAGAAAACTGAAAAATCAGAGGCATCAATAAATTTCCATTTATGTGTGATAATTGCAAGAACACTTCGGTCAACTAGCGAGAAAATTCAACCATTTTACAGTTATGAAGAACAAAAAAAATCCACATTGTCTGACCAAAAAATGCTAAATTTGTGGTCAAAATGAATGAATTAGCGAGAACAATACGCACCTTCAAGGAATGTATAACAGTTGTTTCGAGTTATTCAAGCGCAAACATTCAACAGGTAACATAAATCCCAAAATCCATCTCGAATAAAACAATAATATCAATGCCGCTAAACCAATATTTGGTTTCCGCGTTAAACGAACGAGAGATTAAAACAAATTTGCTAATTTTGCGGCTGTTTATTTTCAGCATTAATATTTGAAACTTTTTGAATATTATATGCAGATTAGTAGAGCAATCTGGCTCTTTCTGCTTTTATTGCTAAGTGGATTAGAGATGTGCATTTAAATGAGGATTTTTTTTTGTTAAAGGTTACTACCAGCCAGCGGGTCCTTTGATTTCAGTGTCGCACCCATATGGACCTACAGCTGCTCCACAGCCTCAACCACCTAAAAGCGTGCCTCTTTCCGAAGCTTCACCCACGTCTATTAATTCTTCGATATACCAGCCGCAGGCTCCACCTGCCCCTAGCTCGAACAATGGGGACTCTTCAGATAATGAGGTATGAAAGCAAATTCCTTATTGTTTTATACATGTTAGGGTGTTCGACAATCTTTTCATATGCCGGCTGGTTCTTGCAGGGTGAGCTGTATTTTAACTGGCGATTGATTGCGCGTTTAAACCCTCTCTCTATGGGGTGTAATCGCTATTGCAAGGAAAACAATGCGCTCGACCTCATTTCAGTGTCAATTAAATTAAATTTTGTTGACATTCCAAATTTTCAATGGTACACAGGTAGAACGTGGCGGTTATACAACAACACTGATGAATTAGGAATGGGAAAGCCGGAAACTGGAGATACTGCAAGTGAAATAGTTGATATTGTTGCGGGGATGACTACAGAAAGTTCGGGACAGCTCGACGGATTTGGAATAAGGAATGTTCCGTATTTGAACCAGAATATTCGAGTGTTGCCAAACGGCTATTAAAGCAAGCGCGACGCGCCCTAGTTAGTGAAGTTGAAGGTTAAATATTAGGTCAATTATTGTAGATTATAATTGGCGTTGTGTTTAAGAAAAAAAACAGAGCTATTTACTGGAATCTGGAACCCCAATAACGAAACAGTATTTTCGGAGATATGTCTCCGACCACCGTCTACAATTATGACGTCAAACTGTATTTCCGAAATACCTACTTTCGGATAATCTTCAATTTCCAAAATTCCCATTCTTAATGAACTACCCCGTATAACACCGATAAACTTTCACAGGTAATCATCACATCGGTGACTTCAGGGGTGAAGGAGCCTCCCATTGCGCCCACCCACCAACCGACCGCGTCCTACAGATATCCGCAGTACTCGCAGTATCACGCTTACGCATGTCCACCTCAATACCACTACCAGACGCCGCCGCCGCCTCCAACTCCTCCATACCCTCATCATGAGATCTGTTACCCGGCGGCGCCGCCCGGTTATTTGCGCCACCCCAAGTATGCGCCCTCGCCCAGCGCCCCGTACCATCGCTACCCGTACTATTCGGGTCATGGGAGCGAACTGTATCCACCCTCAAGTGCCCCACCGTCACAACCTAGCCAACAGGTGAGGGATTTTGGAGGACTCATTTTCGAGGAGAGTATGAATGAGGAGTTCTTGCTTTTCAGATGGTAACTGCGGCCGCTGTGACGACTAATGGCTCATATCCGCCTAATCCAAACGGCGTCCCGCTACCACCAGCCATAATGGAGAGTTATCCACCACCGGCAGCACCACCTACATTGGTGGATGCCTATCAACCGTCTCCTCACTACTACCAATCTGCTTACAGTCTTCCTCCAACGTGTTATTCGCATTCTCCCTCTAGAGCCATCCCTTATCTAAGTAAGTATGGCGTTTTGTATGGGATTTTTAAGGGTTGGAGATGCTTTGGTTTTCTGTATTTTAGTACGTTCCTGATTTTTTTAAGGAAAAGTAGCGCAAATGCCTTGCAGTCTTCTGTTATCAATTGTAGATTTTCCATAGTCTCAAGCGCCCGACTTTTTTAGCTTCTTCCTCCATCGGTACATACAAAGAGTCCCAGTTCCTCGTCAATCGCCATCAACTTCCTGATTTTCTTCGGGCTCTTCACATGCTGCCTCTCCTACTCTTAAACTCTTGCTAAAACAGCATCCTTCGATGTCAAAGTTCGCTTTTCTGCTTCTTTAAGTTCCCTTCAACCTTGGATTTTTGGCAACTTTCTACATTTCCATCTCTTCCTAGAGCCTAATCACTCCTGAAGAGCAATCAGTTAAATTCTAAGTCCATCCACTTAACTATGGGTGGCATTATTAGTTTCGTTTCCAGCAAATGTAAGCTCTGAATTCCCCGAACAAGATGGATTACGCTCGTCCTAAGCGGCTTCACTAAAATTTCGCTTCGCACAAAAAAAATTCTATTTCTCTGCCCAATTTTATAAGTAAGAGCTTGATGCTTCTTCAGAGTCTGATCTGTTTGGTTTCGCCAATTTCACCTCTGTTACACATGTGGTTACTGGACAAGTATAGGGTCTTTTCAGCTAAAAATGGCAAAATTAATTTTGCTAGCAAATTCGCC